TGTATAATTATGTTATATATATGTATATAAACATAAAGATATAAACATATAAACATAAACATATGCATATGCATTTACATATACATATACATATACATATACATATACTTATACTTATATTTATATGTATACTTATATATATATTATACTTACACATGTACATATACATACATTTACATATATCTATCTGGTATGTATGTATGTAATGTATATGTATTATATAATGTATATGTATGTATATATATATATATATATATATATATATATATATATATATATATATATATATATATATATATATATATATATATATATATATATATATATATATATATACATATATATATATATATAATATAATATATATATATATATATATATATATATATATATATATATATATATTTTTTTTTTATATATGTGTATTTACAGTCTATTAAATAGAGAGTTTGATGAAAATTAACAACTGTTGGTAATAGAGATAGTGAGATAAACAAGCCAAATCGATTTCCAGCCCCTGTGCCTGTGCAAGTCCTCCCTCTTCTTTGGCAGATGCAACTTTTTTGTTTATGCATTTTATGACTGCAATTCTGGCTACACTCTGGGGTAGCTCAGACTGATATTTCTATAGGTATTTACACAAATAGTGTGGGAAATGACTATTAAGGGTAGTGGTCATCTGGGAACACTTGAACCATCAGTGTGAGGGAATTTATGGTAGTAGAATGGGATGTCATGTAACACTGTGCCGTACAAGGAGTACTCTATAGTGTGAGATTCCCCAGCACCCATCATTGCTTTTGTTTGTTGCCATTCACCCACAGGAGATTGTGAGGCTCCTGTGGTAGAGTAGGTATATGTCGCTGGCTGGTTCAGGGTTGGATCAAATGTGCGTTACAAGATGATTTACTTTCTTTGCATATCTGTCCATCTATATCTGTCTGTATTGGTCTGTTTGTGTTTAATTACCTACATCTGTCTGTCTTTATCTGTGTTCATATTTGTATATATAACTCTCTGTCTCTCTCTCTCTATATCCATACTTGTCTACTTTTATATCTTTTTTTTTTGTGTGTGTGTGTGTGGGTGCATGGGCGTGTATGTGTGGATGTGTAGAAAGATACAGAGTGTATGTGAATTTGCACTATTATGTATGTATGCAAGAAATGCTTCAATCTTCACCTAGTAGGAAAAAATTAGATGATGACATTTATTTAAACCTGTGTGCAAAGTGCTTCCAACCTTTTAGGAAATAGCTATTAGATAGTATGTCTTCAGAATCAAGGTGATGATTTATCCTCAACACTAAGTCTTTTGGTGAAGATGTCTTGGGAGGATTACCATTTTGGAGAGGATACAATGTGAATGGATAAGCCCATTCACCACCATTCAGTGTTTCTTGTGCCTATACCACTAGTTTCAACTCCTGTATTTGTAAGTGCATGTCAGTATGAGTAGGAAGCATGGGTTTTTGATGCAAGAATTAAGACTGGTTGTTCACACTTTGGTAACATTGTGCTGTGACCTTAGAAATGGAGGGGATTATACGTATGTGTAAATAACTTAGCAGCGATGAGTTGCCATAGTAAGAAAGCTTATTTCAGGTACTTGGATCACAATTTCAGAAAAAAATAGACGGGCATGAAGTGTAGAAAATCAGGGTGATGAATAAAAGGAGAAAGAAAAACATTTGCTTTATTTCTTATTCAAGATTGGATGTTTGATTTGGTGATGTTAATGTAAATGATTAAACTTAATGTAATTAGCATATTTATAACATGATTACAGAAATAGAATTGATATCAGATTTAAAATATGTTCTGGATATTTTTGTGGGTGTTAAATGTGTACCAAAATTGTTAGTAAAGGAGTCGATTCCTAACAATTATAGGATGGTTTTATAGGGATGGTTTTATTTTTTTGGTGAGACATTTTGGATTCTTAGTTTTGATCATATTCCAGATGTGTGATATAAGGATTTCTTATGTAAAGATGCAGAAACTGTGATGAAATTTTCTGTTTATACAAAATTTCTTCTAGATGAGTTTTGGTGCTGCAGATTGCTAATAAAGGTGTGGAAGCATGTGATTTTATGAATATATAATGATTTTTAATCCATTTTTTAAAAACTATTAAAAGTAGGATTTGGATTGATTTTGGGGTTTAATGATGATAATTAAAGCATGATTTTCTTAACAGAATTCAAGCATTGGTGAACTTTGCCAAATGTTTGATATAGCTTTATAATACAATTTTCTCATTTTTAAATGAAAAAGGTATAAGTTAGTGTATCATTATTAACAGCTACACTAAATGAACTCCTTGAAAATGTATATTAAACATGTTAGGAATATATACTTTGGTGTGTCTGCATGGAAAAAAGGTTTTGTTTTCTGTTTATATGTACCTGCATCTAGTAAGTATAGTAAATGCAATTTATAAAGATGGATTTTTCTAAACTCATTAACTTCTTCCTGTATAAGTCAAAAGTTTTGATTCACAGCAGTAGATACAATTTGATTTATGTACACAGCTCTCTTTGGGTGCTTTAATACCTTTGAAATATTGAAAAAATGTGTTTTCCACAACAGACCCACAAGTTATTTAGTAGTTCTTGGTTAGGATGGAATCTGTAAGTGTTGTTCCTCACCTATGATGTCTGTTCAAAAGGTTCTTGTTAGTCTTGATTGTCAGCTCTGAATTGTTCCCATGGCTCTTATGGTGAACTGCCCTGTCTGCTCTTGTACCAAGGGGAGCATCAAACAGCTCACTTTCATTGTCAAAAGTCATTTTTTAAGAATAACAGGTCAGGAAAATACATTCCTGATTTTCTATTTCTAGGAGTGTGATGGAGGGTTAGAAGAATATATATATTTTTTCGAGAGGATAAATTGTTGCTAGAGAATCACTTATTCAGTGAAGGACTGAGTGCTAAATTCATACCTTTGGGGTATTGCAAAATAGTGCTGTGTACCTCCTGTATCTCAGGGTGACTGTACTTGCTTCCTTGTATGAAAGTTGTGTCTTCATGTCCTTGATTGAAGTTATGGCCAATGCTAGAAAAGTATCCAATCAGGGAATATCAAGAGTCCAGGATAGACAATATCATACTTGAACAAGGGAGTTGACAGTGTAAAAATGGATCTCAATTCTCAGAATTGTTACTATTGTTTCAATATGCAAATTGTATTGTATTATGACTCAAGCTGCTTTCTCTGTTGTCTCTTTCTAGTCATTGCACTTGTCATATCTGTGTAGAGAAAAAAATACCTGTATTAGCCAATGTATAGAGATAGTAAAAGGTGTATTATTTATTGATTTTGTTTTAGATCCATTATTATTTAGGTGCCATAGTAAATAATAACCAAAAATATTGCATTCTTCACAGATTGAGAGTCTCCAGAGACAGCTACGGGCTGCCTCAAGTGAAGTAGACTCACTCCATGAACTGAAAGCTGCTTTGCTAGGGGAGAGAGACAAGCAGGAAGCAGAGACCTCAAAACTTCTAACAGAATATCAGAAAACAAGAGAAGAGTTAGAACAGATAAAGGTTTCAAGCACAAAGAAAATTGAGCTGCTACAGAAGACTTGGGAAAAGGAAAAACACATTTTACAGGTGACCTGTTTTTTTGTTATTTTTTTAGGGTAACCACAAATAGTAAGGAAGGACGAGAAGCATGGAAAGTATATATTTGCCCTACTTTCTACCCATTTATCCATGGCATTAAGATTGTCCAGGTTATGAGGCTAAAAGATGCGGAAGCATGCTTTTGAGGGGCTGCTGCTTATTAGTGACAGTGACCAGGGCCAAACAAGCAAATTAAGGTTTAGTGAGTACAACGTTCAGTTGACTCAAGTGTGTATAGTGTAATGAGACATCATCCTGATGTGTGGGTGTTCTAGCTATGACATAAGAGGATGCCACCCCATCTTGAATGGTTTAATGTAAATTTCATATGGTCAAGCATGTCCGTATGTCAAATAAGATAATGAAGTCCTTTTAATCTTGCCTCATGTTTCGTTCTCCTTTGTATCTTGTCTGCTGTCTCATACTTCCTCCTGTCGTATAACTCCTCAGCCTCTCTGTTCTCTGTCCTTTACTCTTTCTCATCTCAATTCTTGCATTCCTTGCTATTCAATTCTGCAGTGAAGCATTTTAATTTCTCTCTCTCTCTCTGTTATATATATCTTTTTCAATTCTCTGTTTCCTTTTTATCTCCTTTTTTGCCTCTGCCTTGCTTTCCATTCCATTCTCTATTTCCATATCTTATCTTCTTCTTTCTCACATTTTGTATTTAACAGGCCATTTCTATTCACCTTTTCCAGGAGAAAGTGGAGAACCTTGAAGCTCAGAATAGTCAAGTGGATATTTTGAAGACCAAATGTAAGAAGCTTGTTCAAGAGAAAGCAGGGCTGGAGGAAGAGCTCAAGAAACAGCAAGTCCTTGTGGCAAAAGGTGTAAAAATGCAAGGAGAAGTTTTAGCCCTTAAAGAAGAGAAGAAGGCTGCTGATATCATACTTGAGACCACACAGAAGCAGAAGAAGGCCCTTGAGGACAAGCTAAAATCCTTCGAAAGCCAAGTCACAGACCTAAAGAAGGCAAAGGAGAAGGACGAGAAAAATTCCAAAATGGAACTTGGCAAAGTACAGGAGTTGGAGAAAAGGTTGGGAGAAAAGGATTTGGCTTTATCAGAAGCTGAAACCAAGCTGAAGGATTTAACTAATAAACTTGAAGATATGGAGCGTGCTAAGCATCTGCTGGAGGAAACTGCAAGAGAAGCGAAGGAGAAATCTGAGAAGAATGAAGCTGATGGAACAAAGTTGAAAGATGATCTTAATGAAGCTTTAGAGAAGAACAAGCACCTTGCAAGTGAATTTGATGATTTTAAGGCAAAACACAGTGAGCAAATAGAAGTGTATACGAAAGAGATTGAATACCTGAAGTCAACGATGGAGAAAAAGATGGAAGAGAGCAGAGTACATTCAGAATTAGAGTTACAAAAGATTAGTGAAGAAAAGGGAGAGCAGTTCAAACAAATTGAGGAGGAGCATCAGTCCTTGAAATTAAAAGAGAAGAATTTGACTGAAGAAAATTCCCAATTGAAGGATAATGTAGAGCAGTTAAAAGCTGGCAGTCAAAAACTGGAAGAACAGATTTCAGAGTTAGAAAGACAGCTAAAAGAAAAAGATGTGTTCAGTGCAGATCTCCAGCAGAAATTTCAAGCCAAAGAATCTGAAAATGTCAGTCTTGCTGAAAACAAGAATAAAGTGGAAAAATTAATGGTTCAGGTAAATGAATTTACAGTGGAAATCGAGAAACTTAATGAAGAAAATAAGACTTTGCTTGACAAGTGTAACAGTCTAGAAACTGAGACATCTCATTTGAAGGAAAAGTTGGCAGAAGCACAGGTGGAAAAGCAAAATCTTGAAACTGAACATTCCAAGGCTGCTGGAGAAAAGGGAAGATTTCAGGAAATTGCTGATGAGTGCAAAGAAAAAGTAGATAAGTTAAATGAAGACATAGAGAACCTAAAATCTGAGAACAGCAAACTGATTGCAAATTCATCAGACATAAATGATACACTGAAAGATGTCCAGGAAACTGTGTCTTCAGTAGCATTAGCTTTTAAGGAAGTTTATCCCATTATGAGTGAGTCCTTCATTTCTTCAACTACTGACAATCTCTTAGCAAGACTGAAAGGTATTCAAGAGCTTTTAGGTGAAATTGGCAAGAAGCGGGAGAGCTTCAGTTCAGAAGAGTGGGTAAAGACTGTCATAAGTTCACTTGAACATTTCCAGAACAGCTTTCAGGTTATTGTTCAGTCTAAGACCAAGGTACATAAAGAGTCCTGTGATGATTGTTTTGGTAGTTTAAGCAAAAGTTTTATAGATGTTTACAAAATTACATTGTCTCTCTTGGATCTCCCGGAAAACTCGATCTTTGAAGAGAAGTGCCGACAAATCACCTTATCATGTTCAGAGCTGTGTGAAGGTTTGAGTAAAGATTTGGAAATGGCAAATCAGATGAGTGAAGACATGAAAAGGTTAACCCAAGAAAGAGAGGCATTGAATGAACAGATACATAAAGTAAGTGAAGAAGCTGACAGAAAAGTCAAAGAGGTGTCTGTCCATCTTGACAACACATTAAAAGAAAAGAACAGTGATTTAGAGAACAAAAAGGAAATGATTGCTGAGCATGAGAAAACTGTGAAGAAGCTAGAGAAAGCCATAGAGGATGAGAAAGCATCATTTGAAAAACTGTCAACAGAACACAAAGAGAAACTGTCTGTTTTAGAAGAAAAGTTAACCTTGAAGGAAAAAAGAATTGGTGAATTAGAGACACATATAACATCAGGTGACAGCCAGAAAGAGGAGATTGTCAGTAACTTAAGAAAGCAATTAGAGAATATTACAGAAGAAAAGACAAACTTAGACAAGAAATTGGAGGAAGTCACTGTACAGAAGGAGCATATGGAGAAGTCACACAGAGACCAGAGTGAAGAAATGGCCAGCTTGCTGAAGAAAGAGGAGGAACTGTCCACTGAACGTAACCTCCTCCAGAAGGAAAAGGAGGCTGTGGCAAATAACCTAGAAGATTTGAAGAGGGAGTTTACCACTAAGGAAAAGATCTATCTAGATGAGAAGCATGAGTTGGAGAAGAAAATCGTCCTGTTATCTGAAGAAAAGATCAGTTTAGAAAAGGAATTTGCAGCCATGAGTCAAAGCAGGAAATCTAATGAAGAAGACTTCAGCTCAAAGAGAAAAGAACTTGAGGAACAAATCCACAATATTATGGAGGAAAATGCCAGCCTAAAGTTAGAACTTGAGGATAGGAAAGGAGAAAATGCAACTCTGCAGGAAAATATTCAAGAACTGGAGAAAAAGATTGAGAATCTTGGGTCTGATGTGGGACAGTTGCAAGAAAGGGTCACAGATAGAGAGAAGGAGCTAGAGGTAAGTTTGTGAAATTATTATATGTTGTTTGTAATTTGTTATTCATTTACTAATTTATTTTATTAGAATTTAGTAAACCGTCATGCAGTATTTTATCTGTTTATTTTTCAGACTAATAGGTATATGAATAAGATGATTTATTTATATATAGATTTGATAATTTATTTAGATATTGATAATTTATTCAATACCAAAATTGCTTCAACTTCATTTTATCAACATCATCATCAAGGGGCTAACGCTGATGGGGGCGCATATTCATTTGGTGCTATAGTACTTCTAGTTCTTGAATATCCTAAAGGCTTTCATCATTAAAATAACTTTGCACCAGAGGTCCAAAAGCATATACTAGGATATGTATCACTTCAAGTTTGCTGTCTGTGCTATAAGCTTTATTTTTAAATGTTCCTTGGAATTAAGTTAATATCTTTCTAAACCATAAGTAACTGTTTTCATATTGTTTATTCAAGACGCTAAGACAGGAGAAAGAGGCATCAGACAAAGAAGTGAAGGAAGCTGAAAATCAGAGGCTACAGCTCAACTCGT